AGCCGAGCAATTACGCTGAAACACAGCCACTTGACGTCTATGACGATCACTTCCCTGAGGACTTCGCCATCGAAACATTGCACCTTGGATGAAATGGATAACATTATCAATATGCATATTTCGAAAAATCCCCACGAAAATACTTGTATATTACAGACAAGTGTTGACAAATATCAAACTCTTAAATGGGAGATCGTAGAAAAACTGAATATTTTTATTTTTATATTTGTGACTTGTTATCTTCAAGATAATGAACCCAATTTGTTTTATTAGTTTTCCTGTAGAATTTTTCTTCTCCCTCCTCCTGAGTCTTGAATAATCAAACCCGTACAAGAGCAAAACCCCCAAAATAGAAATTAAAAAAACATTGATTACACTAAAATTTAATTTTAATTGATTTTGATATTTAATGCATATACTTTCTTGCGTTTCTAATCACACAGATGTACAAACAGTGGATTATTAAATCATTTTTTTCTTTTGTTAATGAGAAAATTTACATAATCAGCCTATAAAGCAAAGAATGTTTTAAAACAAGTCCAAATATTGTGCAAGAATACCGATTTATCAAATTTTCACAAAATATATACTGGTCTGTTACCATAGTTACATATGTACAGTAACTGGCACAGTGATTTACTAAATTAGATAATACATTATCATGAAGCGGTGGTTGCCATGCAGCCCACATTCAAACAATGCATTTTACACCCTATTGAATACAACCTGCGGAACCCATATCAAACACATCGCGTAGACCACCACCCGTTATTATTCATCAGGTCACGAATTGTAAATGCAAGCAAAATAGAAATAGAATTAAAATTCCAGAATCTACAATGGTGAGACTTACCTCTCCCATACATTGCAACTGATGTAGGATTTCATTGATATGACCTTCTCCAGCCAATGGGTTAATCTGTTTATGAACACATTCTACAAACTGTTGCCATGACATCACCGGAAATGATGAAAACGTCTTTCTCCATGTTGGCAGCATACTCAAGACAATGTCAAACAGTGAGGTTATGCATCCTTCTGCCTGCGAATCAGATAGCATGCAAGAATTCTGTTATAAAATTGCAAATAAATCAAAACAAATGCATTTATTTTATAATGAATCATCAAAACATGACTAAATTGGTGCTTTTTAATCCCATCAAACACAAATGGTAGCTAAGGTAACTTTTTATAAAAACAAGCAGCCTATCGGCTGAGATAGCTCCGCTGTTAGCAATGCACATTTCAATTAAAGAACTGAAGATATCATTAGAAAATGAACAATATGAATAGTATCAAAGCAATTGCGATTTTCAACAAAAATTCAAAAATATCATTTTTTACCAAAAATGACAAAAATAATCATTAAAATTAGATAATTGAAGATATCATCACAAAATGAACAAATCTGATATAGGTCCACATGTAGGACCTATATATGTAATATCAAAGCAATCAGACAGAAGTCAAAAATATCATCATGAAATGAACAAATCTAAGAGAGGTCTACCCAAGGTACATATACACCAGGTATCAAAGCATTCAGACTTGTGGTTTCCAAGAAGTCAAAAAAGTAAAAAGTTGGCGCAGACGACGGGCAATCACTCATATGATAAGCTCCGCTCGACAAAAAGAAGCTAAAAAAGAAAATATATCATTTTTTCCATATTTTCTTACAATTTTGTGATCAAGACGGAAGCCAATATGGAATCATATCCATTTGTAAAATGAATGACGAAATTATAGAAAAACACAACAAATTAAGCAAAACATTTTGAGAATCAATATTAAGTAAGTCAAATCTGTAGAGAATTAAACATATTTATCATTTTAAAGCTTGGAGGGAAATGTGGGAGGGAGATGTCATCAGCAATAATTGAAAATATCATTCAATATCATTCCAAAAGCCAAGTGCCAGCATGTCTAAAATGAATGTACCACACTCACCTTGATAATGGCATTCTTTACGTTGGCGAGGTATGTGCGCAACAGTTTCATCTCTCTTGATGATGAAGCGTGAGCGTCCACAACAAACATCATTTCGCAGATATCAAACTGTTTACCGTAGATCTTCTTAACCTGATACAAAACGACGTTTCCCTCTCCACTCACGTATTCCCCTGTCGCAGTTCGCGGGCAATTGACAACATCGGCATGTGTCCCAATAATGATCACTTTCATTTGAGACAAGAATTTACCGCAATATCCTGAAAATGTCAAAAGAATAAATGTCATATTTGATTGATGTGCTAAAATGGAAAAATTCGGCAATGTTTAAGACATCGCTAACCCTCATTGTCTTCTCAACGTAGACTTGAAGCGTACAGTCTTTGCATAATGTTCGAAATGGTGCCACGCAAACTAATATACAACATGTATAAATTGTTTGATTAAACAAAATTGACGAGGCACTTATTTTCTTTCGTATTTTGTAACTTACCGATTGGTTCTGTTAATGGCAGTCTAGACTTCAGCAAGTTCATCCAATAGCACACCTGGTTGTACTTGACCTCGTACGGGTCCTCCAGATTAATTGCAATGCCGTAGATGGCACTGGGATCCCCGACGAAATGAGTGTACGCTGTGTGGTATTGTTCACGTCCACCAAACTCCCACACACTGAGCTCTCCCGAACCTGCATGTAATAAATGAGAATATGAAAAAAATAAATGGCGAACCCATGTAATAAAGAGCGTGTAAAACATACCAAAGTGCACTGAAGAGAAAGTTTGATAACAGGGACAGGACAATGATGACATTGAGCATTTTTGCCACAGATACTTTTCCCTTAAAATACAGTACAGGCAATGAACTCTAGATTTTTTTTATTCATTTGAAAAAGAGAGTCAGACCAATCAAAGACCAGCTTGTTTGTTGGCAGGTTTGTTCAACTTATCAAATTCTATTTTGTATCTATACTTTGACTCAACTGGGAAAAATAAGATTATTGTAGAATACAGAAAGATTGTTAAAATAAATAACAATATCACCAGTAATGTTACAGTGTCTTCTATTGGTAGGACACTGCCCTCTATAGTTAACAACTGATTCTCACCTGGTATATTTAGCACCTGTACATCGATTCCTTTAGTACTTATGTAATCCACCGAGTTATTATTAGAACTAACTCTTCTTTGCTCACTGGCCGGTCGCTGACCTCCTTTATTGATGTATTTTTTGGGTGATGATCGTCCAATCATGGAAAGGTTGCTCTTGGAGAGTCGAAACAATCCCCTGAAATACCCGCACTTTAATGTGTCTATCAGCGTGGTTTTACCAGTTCCCGAATGTCCAAGTAGCATAAGCTTGACTCGATTTATATACGATGGGGTAGCCGCAAGCTGTTGTACGTACAAATCTCTTGATTTCTCCTGTAAAGTTTCAGACAAATATTCATGATTAAAAAAAACAAAACAGGAAGTGTAGTTTGTTAAACACCACTATTTTGTAACCATGGCAAAACTTTACCAAACCCTTGCTTTAAACCACAGGTGTTTATACTTACAGTTCGTAGCTTCGACAAAAGTTGTGAAATTTCTTCTTGTTGTTCGATAACCGTGACTTGCTCAGCTGTTAAACCATCCTATTAACATAGAAAAACGTCATTACTTCACAAGTGAAACATGTAATAGGATTGAAACAATGAACAACATTGAAATTGGTAATTCTGAATTAATGCTGATAGAAAAATGTACCACAAATTACATAGCCTTTAATTTCCTTTAATTACCTCGTTCTTGGCTTCTATATTAGCTCCCACAAAGCACAGATATCGGACGGCCTCCAAATGGCCATGTCTTGCTGCTAACATCAACGGTGTGACACCATGCTGGAAATTACCACATAAAGCATAGTTATACAGTATGCAGGAACTGGACAATTAATAAAGTTAATTATTTATTATGTGGTAAAAAAATTATTAAATATATCATCCATTTCATCAGAATGTAGTACATAATCTTCATTGCCTAGTCGGAAAATACTCAAAATTTGTATCTGCCAAAAATTTAAAACTTCAATTTAAAGCTTATTACAATCATATTTCTAAAAATTACCTTATTTGATAAATCCACATTACAACCACCTTGGTACAACATCTGTATGATTTGTATGTTACCATCTCGACATGCAGTATGAAAGGCAGTCTCACCATACTGAAAGGGAACATAGAGGGCGGTCATCATTTATTAAAGGAAGAACGACCCTCGGTTTCATAATTTGACATTTATATGATTCAGAACAATATATTTTGAAATAGCCTAAAAAATTCTATGTCAGCAATCCTTTCTAAAGTAAAAACTTCACGAATGTGATTCAAAATAGCAGTCATTTTAGACGTAAAAATGGTCAGACAGCAAATAATTTATTTTAGATAGATACATGTATTATTAAAATTGATTCTTAATCGATTCATTTCATGTTTTTTAATCATTAATTTATTCAGAGAATGAATAGCCTGAATGCATTTCAGTTTTGGTCTAAAATATTGAAAAAAATAATTAATAACACGTCTTGAGCAAAAGAAATTATTGTCTAAAAATAAATGCTTTTAGAATCAAAATGAAATGCATTATTTATGTTATTAACTTCATGGCACCATTCCATGAAATGGTTTAATTTCTGCAGGTTGAAATGTTAACAATTTGAGGGCATTTAAGAATGATATACAGAATATTTAAAATAATTATGAATACGAAATCTGAGCAAAAGATATTCCATCAAACAATTTGAATGAAAAAGAGCAGACAAAAATAAAAAACATGGACTTTGCAGTATTCTCATAGTATTAGGTTCTATTCGGCAGCCATTTTCAATTGGAAAGTGGTCGCAATGGAAAAATAAAATACAAGACTGCACAAAAATCAAAAACTTGTACAGTTAGCGCCACATGTTTTCTTTGAATTTTCAAAAGTCTGTCAGAGAATAAGTTGACAAATTGTCTGCAGATCCCAGAGTCGAAAGTAACAAGTTGTATCCAATTAATTTTTGTGAAATTTACTGTGAAAAAATTTCATGATTTTAAGACTCAGATAAAATTTACAATAAATTATCTCATGGTGTTTTACAGTAGTTCGGGGATTGAAAACTATGCTTCAAAAATAAATAAATAAAAAAAAAACATATTTATGAAGTGCCGATTAATGCATAATCACAAAACAAACACCCCTTCCACCAAATGGACCCAACCATATGTTAACACTGCATACACACACAAAAGGTTACTCCATTAAAAGTTTAAGGGGTGGTTACCTTATCTTGGATATCCAAGTTACACCTAGCATCACACAAATATTGTACTACATGATGGTGAGCACGCCGCACAGATAAATGCAATGCACACTGCCCATGCTTATCAGTTTCATCGAGCAAGGCCCCGGCTTCCGTTAGAAGATGAACTATTTCTAAATGGCCTCGCACGGCCGCACACAACAATGGTGTTTCACCGTCCTGAAGAAAAAGACACAGCACACCAAATTGGTTTCAGTTTCCACATTGCTTTACATGCAATATTATATAGCTTGAGAAACATTGGGCGAATCACTTTAACTTGTTTGTCGCCATTGGTAATTTTGTGTTCATCCACCAAATGATAATAGTCCTTTACAAAACTTTTTGATCACAATTCCTATTTTCTTCCAACCAAAATAATTAAAAGTTTTCAATATAAGATTTGTTTTTAATTAGTTCAAAATTTCCATCAGGTTTCAAAAATTGAACGAAAAAAGTAAACTAATTTTAAAGCAAGTTTCAGTTGGCGTCAAAAGGGTGAAGTGATGATGAAGAGCATGATGCAAGCCAGTTAAGAGCAGTATCAAAACAAATTATCATTCAACATGCATGTTAGATGCAAACACAAACTTAACGAGTGAATGAAAAATATGGTTGAAACTTTATCAAGCACACACACATGTAGCCCATTGCAGATGATAAAGATAACAATTTCTTCCATTTGTGAATAAGAACCTTGTATAATAGGTGAAAATGACAGGTGTATGTCTATAATGTCAATATAATAACCCAGTATATAGATGTGCTTCTAACAGAACAGATATGGTAATAATTATTTTTCAACAGTTTTCAACATGAACATGCATTTGAAATTGTATGAAATTGAAGAGTTTATTTAAGTAAGATTTGTAATTTTCATGGCAAGCTTCAGCAACTTTTCAATCTAAATTCAGAAAATATACCAATTTCAATTGAACATTTATTTTTCTACTGAACTCTGAAAAAAACATTCAGCTTTTTTTGGCTGAAATTTTGGGATATTTACGAAGCAAAAATAAATTTGTTATGTTACACAGCATCATCAGTGCAAAGACTGGTGCTTTGATGATTTTAATAATACCATTTTCCATAAACACAAAATAAACTTGCATAAATTTTTTTTCCATATTTTCGAAAAAGTTGATAAAGTCTGGTAGCCAGTACAAAACTACGTACATGCGGTTCAGAATTTACCAAGAAAGTCAAGATAAATACATAATTATGTGCAAAATGTTACCCAAAATTTTGGCGGGAAAAAAAAATAACATACATGCATGATGGATGATCATTCTTGGCACTCTTCAGACACAGAAGTGTACATATTGGTAAGTATTTTACTTAGCTCCTAAATCATAATTTTACTTCAATTTATTGATAAAATTAATACTTTTAGCAGAATAATAATCAATAATGTAAATATTATCAGATTATGAATTGGTTGTTAACAGCTGCAGTGATTGATTACAATGGGATCAAGTATGTAAATGATGTGTGATGCATTGTGGAAGGTTATGCAAATTGGCTTCCATATTTGGACGATACAGAATTTACGGTACCATATTTACTCTGTCAGAAGCATATATACTCCCAAAGAATCCCAAATTTGTACTGAACCCATCTATGCCAACCTTATCAACAGATCTTTTACTTTAATTTATTATTATGTGCATGCACTTTTAAATATGGGTTACTGAACAGTGTTGATAAGCAAATAAATACATGTAGATTGCATACTATATGGTACCTTGTTTTGTATGTTTGGTTTGCATGAGGCATTGCATAAAGACTGTACTATGCTGGTATAGCCGTGCCATGCAGCACAATGCAGCGTAGTTTCGCCGTCTTTGTCTTGTACGTCAGTGTCAACACCTAGACTACATAGCATCTCCACAGCATCAGCTTGACCGTATCGACCGGCGATGTGGAGCGGGGTCTCGCCAGACTGGAAGAAGGCAAATTGGAAGAGAGAAATTTATATATAAAATTCAACAGAAAGACAAACTCTGCCCTGCACAGCAACAAACTACATTAATTGTAGTTCTTTTTATCCTTAAATGCAATCAACAAGCGTAATTACTTTTTTTGAAAAGATGAACTTTTAGGAATTCCTTGAAAGCTGGAATGCACTATGCTATTCAAAGATTTACAAGTTACCAGTATAAGTTATTAAAGACATTCATTTGACAGTTTCAATAACTTTATCAACTAACTAAATTGAAAAAATATCCTTACTTTTTGGGAAGTTTTAATAACTTTTTTGACTAACTAAATTCCGAAAATACACCAATAAAATTTATATGCACACAATCTTTTCAATATATTTTGTTTCATACACTGAACTGGCATACAAACTTACCCTGTTTTGTTCGTTAGTTGGAACACAACTTTCATGTAAATATTTAATAGCTTTTGAATGTCCTTGCCTCGCTGCCCAATACACAGCGTTGTCACCATGCTTTAAAAAAATACAGAAATTAATGCATCAAGAAAACTTGCAGACGATCACAAAATCTCATGAAAAACACACTACTAAATGCAGAGGAATGAGTGTTGCATGTATTTTGCATTTTTGAGTAGAGTGATAACAAATTCACTTACTCCTGCTTTACAGAAGTAAACTTATACAAGAGTGCATATAATCTGAGGTGGCATCGTATTGGTCAATAACTTTGATGAGCACTTGGAGCACTTAGACTTATTGTACATACACTTTTGCAGTAACCTGGCTTTTGCCATTTATACACTCCCATAATGTTTTATTTTATTGAAAAGAGGCCAGAAAATAAACGAGACTACATGCAAGCATAACTTGAAATTGACGTCACATGAATATCCAAGCACACCCTTGTCTCATAACGCCCAGATAAAATCACTAGATCCCGGACGATTTTTTTTCTTATACATATTATTGCACCATTGTGAACATAAAATTCGTTTTATGCAATAAATGTATAGTCATGTAATTTACTAGAAAAACCTTTGTAGACTTTGTGAGTACACACAAATAACAATGAGTCATAGCTATACAGTGGGCACTATGCCAACAACTATTGGTTTAAGTGGAATGACCCCCACCCCTACTGACCCACTGCAAAATTACCTCATAAACACAGTTCATCAGAGCTATGTATGAACACCAAAACATGAAATATTAATTCTTGAGTCAACTATTAAATTTGTGATCAGGTCAAGTGAAAAAATTTTGTTAGATAAGTAATATAAAAATTTACACACGTATATGTTGTATGGTAAACCATATCAAACGACAGTGATTCAAGTGATGTCAGAAATCAAAAAAACAAACACGCATAATTTTTTCCACTACATATTTTTTTCAAAAGTTTTGATAATGTCCTACAGCCAATGAGAAAATATGCCTAATTATTCAATAATTTACGAAGAACTTAAAAAGTAAAGAATAAAATATGCAAAATTTTATTTATACCAAAATGTTGTCTATCGTAACCAGATGCAAATGACTTTGTTTAACTTCAGCTATTTCTAACACGATATCATTCGTTTTCTTAACCTTTTCATCACCAGTTCCTGCTTTTCATAAGAAATAGTTTATAGTCTGCTCTTTCCTTCAGAAAATTGGGACAAAAATAGCCAAATTTTTTGAGTAAAAATTGACTCAAATTTTGTCTGTTGGCTTCAAAATTAGGATCCATTCCCAGAAATATTGAAGAATATAAGAACAAAGTGCAGACAAATTTGGGCATACACAAGTTAATACACATTCTTACTGCCGGTATTCCAGTTCATTTTACTCCAAACAAACGTCAGCATTTCTGAAGTTCACGCATATTCAGAATCGTAGTCTGTGTCCATGCAGATAATCATCGGTATACCAAATTAAAACACACACACAACTCAAAATCATTATCTGGGTTCATACTTTTCAAATAAAGATAAAATTAAACCCAATTATGGGCACTGCTATGAAAAGTTATCTGCGTTAAGACATTCCGAATAATTTCTAAATAATTAATCGCAATTTCCCAAAGGATGAAGCTAAAAACGTTCAACTCATTGTACACGTATTACAAATGCTGATATCTTAATACACTGAACAGTAATATTTATCAGGTGATAGCAACCAAGTTTAAAAAGAACACTTCAGAGATATGGTGAAATCAAACTATACAACATTAAGAATTGTACTCTGTCGGCAGGTACATTGTACTATATTTTCTCTATCAGCAGCACATTAAAAAAAATGACAGAGGTGAGCTTTTGTTAAAATAGGATTTAATAATTCATCATACAATAAATTAATTTTTGGTTTACATGCACTTCAATTGGAAATGCAATGCAACGTAACAGAGCACATAATGGCTCAGTTAACTTGGGGATTTTGTGAAGACAATTTGATTCATAGTCAATTTTAACAGGAAACACTAGATGCATCATCAAAAATTTAATAAATTTTATAAATTTCCACAAAGCATAATGCATATCAAGTATCTAGGAATCAATATATCTCACCAAACAAAGATTATTTTTCATTGAATTCAGTGCATTATCGATATCAGAAAGCTAGACACGAATTTGTACAAGTCATTTTCATGGTAAATATGATTGCACGGCTCACGGTTTGAAAGAAGGAGTCATCGAAAATGATGAAGACAGACAGCAGATAGATAATTAATATTACACCCCCCTCCAACCATAACCCCCCGTAGCTTTTTATTTGTTAGTTTAAATTTGACTTAAAAATTTACAAAGCGTAAACTGGAATTTCACTCGTAAACAAAAACATCTGAATATATTGATTTTCACTTCAATGTTACACCCAATACTAAAGAGATATCCACTCTGTAAAAACACCCTCAGGGTTACTTAAACACTAACACACACAAAGTTAATTAGGAATTGGAGAAAGTGGAAGAGAATAATATCACATTTAATTGACAAAGATATCGTATTGTAATCTTACATACTTGTGAATGCATTTTTAATATATTTTTGAATTATTATACATCACGAGATGAATTCTAAATTCCAAGATCTCGATCAAATTATCTACTTTAATAGTTTTATTAAATTATTAAGTGGCTTTTTTTATCATTTCGTGCATTTATTAAAAAAATTGTAGAAATTAGGGGGTCTCATAATATATCACTTGGAAGGGGGGGGGTACCGTAATACAGTGTTGAGGGAGATGACTTAAAGTACTCACTTTGTCTTTAAAGCTCATGGTAGCACCTCTTTCTTTCAAGTATTGCAGTATTTCAAGATGGCCGTTACCAGCAGCCAAATGAATCGCCGTCTCACCATGCTGCAAGTACATAAGTTTATAGACAAGTATTTATGAGATGTATTATGAAGACCTGACGAGAAGCAAACTTTCACATTTTGTGAGTGTTTGAAAGTGATACTATCCTGTTCTTGTCAATCAAAAGTATGTCTAACTAATACAGAACACAGTGGACGTTATTGAAAAGGACATTACTGGACTCAACGTTGAAGTCAATTTTTTGTCAACTTCAACAAAATAAACAAGCACAATTTTTTTAAAATGTTCATCAAAACCTGCAACTAAAGAGAAATTAAGTCTATTTGTGGTTCAAAATTAACAAAAATTACAGAAAAATTCATAAAAATTGGCAAAAACTTGCACCAAAATGTCAACTAGAAAAAAATATGGGGGTCACTGTGTTATAACTATTATTAAAGTGAATATTTAATACCTTATTTTTTTGGTCAGGATCAAAACTAGTTAGTGATTCCACCAGCTCCTTGATACCAACAAAATTACCGTCTTCTATTGCATGAAACACCGCCATGAGTACGAAAGATTCCTCTTCATCAATTAGATCCGTACTGGATTTCTGAATTAAGAAAAACAATTTATACTAATAATGATATGTAAATTTATACAAACTTGAACCTTATCACATCTGAGACCCAGATAAAAGCCAGATGGATACTAGTAACTTGGGGATTAGGGGGAAAATGTTTGCAATGTTCTAATTGTTTACTTGTAAGACAAAGATACCATACCATAATGTTCTAAGCTTTTGCGGCTTTTAGCACCAACATCAACTGTCGTCACCTTTCACAAAATAAATATTGATTAACATCTATAGTCAATATGATAATTGATCCATTTGGTTCAAAATTATCAAAAAAAAAATATAGAAAAATAAATAAAATAGACAATATGTAGCATCAAAACTTTGACAGGAAAAAATTATGGCATTCAAAGTGTTCAAGGCTCAAAGCATTTTTTACATATTTTTTTGTAAATTCATAAATAATTTTATTCTAGTTTGGAGAAAATATTTGTGAAAAAAATATTCCAAACTTATTTTGTAAATGGCGACACCAATAGTCACTTTGCTATGCAAAGGATTAACACACGCCATAATAAAGAGCCGCAAACTAAACTTAATTTGTAGCGAAAGTTGCAATTAGGTGGGGCACATAGGGAATAAGACAATTGTGAGAGTCTATTTTATAAAGCTACCTCGCAGCTAGGCAGTCCAGTGAACCCTGGTTAAAGCAATATAAATAGACTGTAGCAATTTTAATGAGAAGGCATTACACATTTACACTTTATAGTTTTCCTGTTATAGATGGAAATAATTTAGTAGAATGTACATAAACACAGCCTCATTAAAAAAAAAAACAGTAGGCATTCTTGAAAAACCTGAATATATAAACCATATAATCCCACGATATTTTCTCTAAGGTTGTTGTTATCAGAAACAAGCGATTACTGCTAGAGTATAGTATCAATCCATGGTCTTTTTTAGCTCCATGATCAATCCCAGCTGTATGCTACTCTGGTCGTAATCAAGATTGTAAGCAGATGTCACCTGCATTTATCGTATGTTTATTTTCACAGTTCGAAAAGTGAAACTGTTGTTTAAAACTGGAACTATCGCTAAAACAACACTGAATACAAATATATCATTGCATACAACTTGTATGCTAATTTTGTTAATGCACGGTTGTTCTATTTCATGCAAACGATATGTGTACACTGTATGGTGATTCTGTGATCAATTTGCGAGGATTTTTAATTTCAACCATTTTTTTTTTAAATGACTGAATAATTATTCCAAAAATACACACAAGCTTGCCAAAATAAATCATTTTCATCACAAACTAATTATCTGTCCAGATACTAAACTTGAAGCTCCGAACAGTAACATATTTTGTGCTTCTCTTTGCAAACAGGTAATAACAAATACTTTTCATGGCACAAATATTGTCTGATTTCCAGACACATGAATAATTCAAAAGCTTTACAAATTATTATTTTTTACTTGATTATTCCATTCTTTTATTTTATGTTAAAAATTTGACAAGTCTTCAAGGTGTTCCAAACTTACTGAATCACTACATATATAGCTTAAAAAGCTAAATTCTAGCAACATTTTTGATAATTTTGGATCAAATAAACATAATTTCCCTATGTATCGATCAAGTTTTGAAAAAGTTATGAAAAGTTCACTTCATCGGTCAAAAGAATAAATTGGTGCATTGTGGGGGATTGATAAAAATGATCACAAGCTCTCATTTCTTAGCCATACAATATTGTGGAACTCCCATGGTGCTTCTGACTTTACATGTACATGTACATTGAAAGCGCACACAGTTGTGAAAGCTAAAAGAATGTTAACATCTTTATTTCTAAGTTGAGAGAAAGTCCTTCAACATTTTTTCGACACCACTGCATGACTGTTGTTTTGAAATTCTAAATATTTAAGTTTATGGAGAATTTTTAAATAATTCTTTGCTCACCAATGGATCATTGCCTTAGCAACTTCCAACTAGTACATTCACATATCTATGCATGATATAACTTTGATATTCCAATATGGCCTTGATATTCCGATGATTAAATCCAACATGTGCTAAATGGTTAACGACATGTTTGATATACTCAAAAATATAACAAGAATAACGAGAAGTGGAAGTGTTCCAATTCTTGGTTCAGTGAGGCACACATTTAATCATGATTATTTTAAGATAATAAGCTTCAATAATAAATTTACATCAATCTGGTGTTGAATCCTCAATACCCATGCAGCCTATGTGATTTAATAAGCTCCTATGTACAAATATAGAAGGATTTTTTTTTTTTTGCAATTCATAATGACTTTCAAAGTTGCCCATAGCAACACAGTTTATTTCTTCTGTCTGGAGTCTGTCTCGTTTTATTATGTAACATATATTAATCTGTTTTTCTTGTTTAATTAAGCAAATAATCTTTCAGACACATTTATTTTAAATGAATAATCTAACTAAAGCACTTATGTTGCATTATTTCCATATCATCTACATTATTTTACATGATGTTGACACTGTTTCCTACTAAATTTTATCTAAAGTTTACAGACCCTCCTTAATATTTTTGCCATATAACGTGTATGCGCATACTCAGGAAATTCAAGTATCATCCAGCAGTGAATAAGAAAATAGACAAAAAATTAAGTATCATTACAGATCTACACAACAAAATTAACTAAGAGCCGTCATCTCACAAGTAGTTAATTTAATTTTTAGTTACTTGAATAAAGCACATCATTTTGATTTGAGTCTTTAACTCCAGGGGTAACCCATTCGGTGTTCTACAGTATGAAATGAACCTTGTTTTGGGGAAGATGGCTGAATTGCAAAAATGCCAGGGAGAAACTAATCGACCGTAATACAATTGTTTTTCTGTCAGTTTAAAAATCATAAATCTGAACATTCACAAATTTTATTATTATTTTTTTTATATGAGCATACATGTAGTCTACCTATTCCCAAGAATCAATGAGGGAAAATGGTCGCAAAGATTGGTATTCAACTTTCAAGGTGATTTATCATTTTTACTATACCAATTATAATTTAACTTTGGAGGGGGGGGGGGTTATGAGTATGTACCATATCTGTCAGCAGTTACAAGAATTAACACACAATTGCACTGACAGTTGTAAACAATTTATAAACAAGAAGGTTACTGGGTAGGTACATCCATTAAAGTGATAAATTATAACAGGAGGGCAAGACCTTGGCAAAACAAAATCAATTCAACAAGACTCAGTCTCCCACTCTATAAATAAAACAAACAATAGGGGGGGAGGAAGCCATGTATGAAATGTACATGTAATAACAACACTGAGTAGTGAAATTTAACAGGATGTCTGTTTTGAGAAGATAAAGAACAAATCTGTTAAAACAAGGACTATGCAGTTGTTGTAATAAACATTTTTGAAGTAAAGAGGGGGAGAGAGAGGGCATATTTAAAAATTATATACGTATAAACAAGTTTTCAACAGCTTGTGTCAATAACAGCATAGGCTGGGTTTAATGTACAATGTCTGACATCAAGGTATCATTGTCCCGGCTTTTGAACACATGTCAGAAATACTCGTTTTTTTTTTTAACAAAAGCATCCAGGCTTGTAGAATCATGCCGTAACCATGTAGGGGAACAATAATATGATAACTAAAGCCGTCCGTTAAAACATGGATGCACTCCAAGAAGAGAATTCACAACATTTTTATACTACAAAACCCACCATAGATTTAAAACCTATTGAGCGGAATAGGTTGATTAAACCTGTCAAAATTGAAAATGTTAGAAATATTAAGTGTTTTTTTATATCATACCTCTTCAGAAATTCTGCTGCTCATCAGTGCTGCCATTGTCTCTACTTCATGGGACAGACGAACTTTTGACCTCAAGGCAGCTCATTTGCATATTAAAAGCTGTCTAACTTGTTTACAGCATCAAGACTCCTCAGGTGAATTACAATTATTTGCATAGTTTATTCGCATAAACTGTTATGGCTGCCTTGTAAAATTTCCTATTAAGCTGACAATGTCATTGAAACTATTTGCAGCTGCCACAGTTCAACTTAATAATTCTAATTATCTACTTTCACCATCTCCTTCCTCCCCCATAAAAAGTTTCCTTTAAATATAATACAGCTTATGGACAGATATTAGTTTTTAGAAACTTCTGTCACCTGTTGAAAAAAAATAAACCTGCTTAATTTTTTTTAATTTTTTTGTCAATTTTTCAAGATCTGCATAAAGTTATGAGTACGAGTAATACAATTAACAAAAATTATAGAAAAAAAAATTACAAAAATATGCATTAAGTTGTTTCAAAATTTTGGAGGAAAAGCCTATGGTATTCAAAGAGTTATTATTCAAAGACACTAAAATCAAATTGAAACACATTTTTCAGGAAATATAACAAAACACAATGAATTTTAATTCTGAAGATAGCAAACCTTGTCCACAAATGGCCACAGAGTTCTTCTTGAGAGCAAGAAGACTTAGTTTCTAACCCCCCCCCCCCCCCCAATCAGTGTACTATTGCCGTCATGCTGTCATTATGTCCATTGTCATACCAACACAAGACTCTCTCACTGTCAATGAGATCTCGGCAGCCATTTTCATTTAAAGTGTACTTTTGATCAAGCAGATATTGTTTACAAGTTTTATCAAAGGTTTTTTTCAACATTTTGATTGGGAACTGAGAACCACGCAAACACTTTGTGAAATGTCTTCATATTAATATCATCAGGGTTTTGACAGGACCAGGTTGGTTTAACAGTAGATAATAACAGTTAATTTACCGCTTTGGAAACTGTAATAATGTGTATGATATTAATGTCTGCTTTAGTTTAGCAGTCGTGTATATATATATATATATATATATATATATATATAAATTGATTCCTTAAAATTAATAAACCGCAACAATTTCTAACAACAAAATGTAACAGTTTTCAGTGTATCCATACCCATCTCCAATTCTCCCTTATTAAAAGCGCCTTCTCAATAGACGTGATTCTACGTGTGTTCATTTTGGTATTATTGAA